CAAAAAATTTAATATTGAAGTTCCCAATTCAAATTCAACATTTAAAGGGTTTTTGCTCACCTTCCCCATTTCATATTTATAACCTCCTTCCTCCAGTCAGTTAAGTTGTTTGGAATCTGGGTTCCAACAGCGGATTATGTTCAAAAGTTACTTGAACTAATTTGTGTGTGTGTTGTTATTACTTTAATGTACAGATAGATTCATTTTTTTGGTTTGTATTTAATTTAGTTTTTTCCCTCCTTGCTGATTTAATTTTTGAATACACAAAATATTCACATGACTCAAATAGAAACTGTATAGAAAGGCATACAACTTTTAGTATCCTAACTGAGCAAACAAAATTGCTACATGACCAGGTTTTTTCTCTTCATATACCCACACACATACACACACAGAATCAGTAATTCTCTATTTCTGGTTTGTAATTTGGACCCAGGTCCATAAAGTAAAGAGATCAGTTCTGTGTTCTCTATGCCATTTCTCTCACAACTTAACACAAGGAACATTGAGAGAGTCTTGACTTCTATCCTTAAGGGATGAGAATGTGAATACCTCAAAACACTACAGGATACTGACACACAAGGTTCTTCTTGCTGATTTTTACAGATCATCAAAAGCACTTCAAAAACTGACTTCTATAAATGTCCAGGTCTTAGATACAACAGAAAGACCTGGTGGGCTATAGCCAGAGTGCTGTATCTGAGAAAGTGGCCGGTCCTGCGTGCGGAGTGGAGTCTGTAGAAGTTTACCTGGTGACAATCCCGTTTTCTGCAAGAATGAAGGCTGCAGTGGGATTGGCAGCCCTGATGAGACTCTGCAGCTGAACAAGGAGAGGGTGCCTCTGCTCCACGGTGTGACTGGTGAACACCACATTACTCACCAGGCCTGGGGAATAAAACCAAGAAAAGATCAGCCTTCAGAGCCCTAATTGGAGCTGATGACTCACACAAACGTGGGCCTCTGCTCCTTCCCCTGATCATTCCTTCCAGTAGCCCCCTGGTGTAGACATCCCTACCCACCCCCCTCAACATCGACATACAGAGCCATCATTCTTTATTTTTTGTTTGTTTATAAAATGTAATTTTATTTTATGTTACTCTGCTGTTACATAGGGCATAACATTTTCACAAGGCTTTTTTGGGACTACAGTCAATGATTAGCAACACACAATAGTGGTCCAACTCTCTAAATAACAATCACTAGACAAACTGGACACCCTCTCACATGTGCACAAATCTGCATGGAAAAGTACTAAAGTTTTAGACTTGGACTTGTGTACTTTAATTTATTTCCCCTTTCTAGTGTACTAAGAAATGACATGCACTTTAATTTGCCAAAAGCAATGCTATAGTCTGGCAGCAACATGCTACTTCTATTACACAGTGAAGTGAATACCAGAATTACAAAGGCAGGAGATGTTAAGTGAATTTTTATTGGGAAGGGAAGCTGTTAACTTAAACAGCAGCAAATGAACAGTGAATAAGAAAACTCCCTGTTGTCACAGATATACATAACCTCCACAATATGACATAGGAGGCATTTCAATTTGTGACCCCCAGCCCAGAAATGTCAAGTGCTTTTCCATTCAATCTAATACTTCTGGATTCCTACTAAAAAGGAAAACATCAAGAGCATGGAAAAGTTGCTTACTGAAAGGAAACCCCCAAAGAAGAGAGAGAGAGGGAATGTAAAAATTAAGGAGTTATGCAGAACACTCTTTAAATTGTAATTAACTACATTTTCATATCTTCACAGTAATACAAAACACAGTCACTTGCAGAACTGGTTCAGATTACTTAAATGCCAGGTAATTTTTAGTCCTCTACATAAGTGTTTGGAAGTTACTTATGTTTATATGAAATGATGCTATTAATACTTTTCTACAGAAGTAACTGCACACCAGGAAGGCCAAGACAAACAAATCAAGGAATGGAGTTTTCCCAAAGCTGCAGTGTGAAAAAGACTATAAACAGTTGATTCCATACACATGAGTGGGTTTCTTTGCTATAGGAAATCCAACTGGAGTGAGGAGTGGAGATGTGTAAAAAGGTTTCTTGAAGGAAAGAAAGATGACACCCTGTATGCATTTAGTTTTCGGCCCCTTCTGCTGCATCACATTCTTCTCCTGCACTGTCTGATGTCCATAATGTTAAGTTGTCTCTAAGCAACTGCATGATGAGGGTGCTGTCTTTGAGTCTTCATTCAGTGTATCAAGTTCTGCAATGGCCTCATCAAAAGCCGTTTTCGCCAATGTGCAGGCAAGCTCTGGGTCATTAAGGATCTCATAGTAAAATACAGAAAAGTTAAGAGCCAGCCCCAGGCGTATTGGGTGTGTGGGTTGCATCTCTTTCTTGCTTATATCAAACGCCTCTTGGTAAGCTCCTTGGGAATTATCTGTTGTTTGCTTTCGATCATCACCACATGCAACTCCAGCAAGGTACCGGAAGTAATCTCCCTTCATTTTCAGATAGAAGACCTTACTCTCTGGGTTAGCTGCATGGGCTATTAAATACTTATCCAACAATTCCAGGACCGTGGTGCAGATGGATCTCAGCTCGGACTCCACTTTCTCCCGATAGTCATTAATCAGCTGCAACTTCTTGTCGGAGGTGTCGGTCTTCTGCTCGATGCTCGAGATGACCCTCCTCGGGACCTGCGGCCCCCGACCACGTTCTTGTAGGCCACCGAGAGCAGGCTGCGCTCCTCGTTGGACAGCTCGGCGCCCTGCTCGGTCACCGCCTTCATGCGGGTGGCCATGTCGTCGTAGCGCTCGGCCTGCTCGGCCTTCTGGATCAGCTCCCACTTCTCCACGGCGCGCGGGGCCGGAGCCGAAGACCAGGAGCGCGAGCGCGAGCGCCGACCGGGAGTCCTCCGCCTCGAGAGCTTCACGTCTGTGCGGCCGCGACGCGAGTCCCCCACAGCCATCATTCTCTTCCCCCTTCCCAGAACTGCCACTTCTCAGAGTGAATGGCTTCAACCTGTAGCTGCCTCACTTCCTCTATCTAAACCCTGCTCTCTATGATACCAGGTTCTTGATCAAGGACCTTTCCACATCCCTTGTATTTAACCTCATCAGGAACTGGTGCCATTTACCTGCACCAGTACAGACCACAGACATTTACCAAGCACTAATCATGTGTCTGGCACTATCCATTAGATCCTCAAAGAGCACACAGCCAAGGAGTCACACAATTCTAAGATACGTGCTAACGTAGATATTCACATAGTGACATGGTAAGAAAGGGCGGCCCGTGTAAGGAGAGGTTGTGGAATGGGCCACAATCACTCCCATTCTTTTTGTGAAAATACAGATGTAAAATTTACAATACTACAGGGAATTTGGAAATCAGGAAAAGTTACCACATCCTACCACCCCAAGATAATGATGTTACCTCTTCCATATTCATTCCTATTTTTACATACTTATAATCATAGTATATATACTATTTCTGCTGTAAAATCATTTGCATTTTGTTATTCAATAATTTTTACTTCTTAATATTGTGGAAAATTTAAAACATATACAAAAATAGAAAAATAGTAGAATAAACTCCTATCACCTGGCTTCAGGAATTATCAACACTTGGCTAATCATATTTCATCTCTACCATATCACAGCCCTTTGTCCACCTCCCCCACTGAATGATTTTGAAGCCTATCCCAGACATCTAATTATTTCACCCCAAAATATTCCAATATGTATCTCCATATTATAAGAACTCTTTAAAAAATTAATGATTAACAATAAATTCCTTAATATAAAAAATCCAGTCAGGTGGCCGGCCCGTAGCTCACTTGGGAGAGTGTGGTGCTGATAACACCAAGGCCACGGGTTTGAATCCCATATAGGGATGGCCGGTTAGCTCACTTGGAGAACGTGGTGCTGACAACACCAAGTCAAGGGGTAAGATCCCCTTACCGGTCATCTTTAAAAAAAAAAAAATCCAGTCAGTGTTCAAATTTCTGTCCCATGAATGCTGTCTTAATTCTTTTGAACCAGGAAGCAAACAAATTCCACACATTGTGCTTCATTGATGCATCTCATAATTCTCTTTCAGTCTATGGTTCTTCCTCATTTCCCTGTAATTTATTTATTCACAAGCTGCATCCTGTAAATTTCTCCAGACTGGATTTTGCTGATTGCATCCCCATAGTGCTGTTCAACACAATAGATAGATCTAGAGGCTTGATCAGCAAGACTGTTTTATAGATTCAATCTTTATTATTATTAACTAGTTTTTTTTAAATTTGTTTTCTAACTTCTTAAGTTGAAAGATTCATATTCTTGTAATTCTGTTTTCCACGAACTTTTTGAAGTATCCACATATGCTTTCCTTTGAATTATTTGGTACAGAAATACTCATGACAGGTTGTAGACAGTATCCTTTATCATTAATAATTGCCTGTTTAAAATTTCAATTTTTTGTCTCAAACCCAACCCTGTCATTGTCAGTATGGCTTCCTTTCTTTTTGTTTAGATTTGTCTGTTATGTCTTTGCCCATTCTTTTATCATCATCCTTACTTAATTTTAGATTTTTCTCTTGTGTAAGGTATCACACAATTAAGTTTTGTTACTGGTATAATATGAGATACTTTTCCTTTTAATAGTTATTTATTCCATTTCTATTTACCAACACCTTGGTTCTGTCATCTTGCTCATGTTGGATTTTTGGGGGGAGAGGGGGTTCTTCAATTAAACTCTACTAAATTTAAAGATTCTGTTTGGCTTTTTTTTTTTTTTTAACCTTTAGCAACATGATCTATGCCTTCTTTGCTTTTTTCCCTTCTGATAAACAGTAGGCTTAGAGTCTATTTTCAGTTCTTAAAATAGCTATCTTTTTTCTTCTTTTAGTAATATATCTAAACCACTGTTTCTTTAGACAATGTCTATTGACTCTTCCACATGAAAGTTGTGGAAGTCAGTATATGCTTAAATTCTTGCCACTTCTCCACCTTCTCATTCTGGTTGGTTATATTAAGATTTTTAGTTCCTCTAGTGGTTACTTTTGTATCTTTAAAGAGTATAATTAATCCTTTATAACTTGATTTAACAACTTTAAACTTTATCAACCTCCCATTCTGAAAGATGTAAAGATGGTATCTCTCCCCTGCTGCCTCCTAATTTTTTGTTAAATACAATTTCATATACAGGTTTTCAAGATTTTCAACATTTATATTCTACTGTATGAGAGAGAATTCTCACAGGTGTTATTAATGCTATACTTAAAAAGTCTTAGTGCTTATCACCAACCCTCTTACTAATAGAAACTAGTTTTACAAATGATTAGTTCATAAGTGAGTAATCTCCAAATTATGGAAACTTCTGCTTTCATAAGCAACCTTCTAATTGTAAGGTTCTGAAAAATGAATATTCAGTATAGAAGACTCTCTGTGCTATTTATTTCAGTCAAGTGTTTAATTAAAAAACAATTAACTGTATTTAGTTTTTGAGGGCAAAACTCACAATGTATAGAAACGTTCAAGAAGAAAATAAATTTCCTTTCTCTCAGCCACCTGTTATCAGATTCTTACCTCTTCTTCCAGAGATCTGCTTGAGTAGGAACAAGTAAAAGTATGTGTGTATAATTTTTTTTCACAGATAGTGGCATACTACACTTTTCAGCAACTTGTATTTTTCCCTTAAGCTCTTTACTTTTTAATTCTGGTGAAGCTTACTTCTTCCTCCATGCCTTCCCTAACACCTTTCCATCCCCCTCATGTTACCCCGTTCTCTAAACACATGCTCCTTTGAATAACATAGGTGGCACTTAAAACATAGGACTTATATTCTTATTTACTTTCTTCTTATATGTGAAAAGATGGCATAATGTATAGATTAAGACATGGGTTTTATTATTATTATTATTTTTTTTAAAGATGACCG